TTTCCTCTTGTAAGCATTATTATTGTTACTAAATTTATTGTCTTCCTTACTGTTTCAAAGATTCAAGAAAAATAGTTAAATTAAAATGAAAATTCAAAACACATTTAAATCTTTTATATTCTATATGTTGTTGTTTTCAAAAATCATTGTAATTAAATTTTTATTACAGTTCTATTCAGAAAAAAAATTTCAGAGAAAGTGTGTGTAAGGTTTCATAATTATTTTTATAACTCATCTTTAGAAAAAATTTCTAATATTAATCTTGTATAGAATTTATTTGGCTTCTATTTTAACATGCAAATATATAAAATGTTTTTTTCTTATGATTTCAAATTGCAAGAAGTCTGACATGGATTATTGCAGGGTTATATTTTGAATAACTCATATTAATGAACAATTATTACAGTCAAGCTCTGTCAAACCTAATCTGCTATTTTTAGACTCTTATTAAATTATTAAAATTAAAGTATGAGAATTTAGCCTAAAGTAGGGAAATATGCTGCTATCATATGTAAAGATTAATAATCAGAAAATTTAAAAATATAGATTGATATGGAGTGCATGGATTTTCAACTCAAACTTTTACATACTTGACGAGCATTATTACCTGCTCTTATGCTACCCAGACAACTGTTAATCTTTGTTTTCAGATATACTTCAATTTGGACTTAATATTGCAGTATGGTTTTATACTATATATCTGGAAGTGAAGTTTAGAGATCCAGATAGCATAAATGATAATGGATCTGTCTGGTATGCAGAGTTACAGGTTTGAGTCTTGCTATGGATTGATCTTTTCTTTCAAATTTTCTAAATTTAAGCTAATTCATAGATGATAATTAACTACTAATCATTTCTACAAGATGACGGCACTACTGTTTGTCTTTAGAACAGATTCTTTTAATTAGTTGTAATATAGCCTGAAAATAATTCTGCAGTTTCAGGTTTGTTTGGCTCGAACAGATTTACTAATGTATAAAATAATAATTTTATGTATTAAAGCTTGTTTTTTTAAAGATTAAAATATATAAAAATTTATTAGACAGAGAAGGATGGAAATTAATCTGGATATTTTATGACTATTATTGTATCTGTTTTAAGTAATATTAAATAACAATAGTTAAAATACAATATTCAGTTTAATACTGTATTTATTATTGATTGATTATTCATTTTTTAATATAATTTAAATAAGCAGAGCTTAAAAAGAGGAAAACTAAAATGACAATGAAAGACCTAAATGAAAAGTTTATAGGCTGATAGAAATGTTTGTTTCGGAACTTGAAAATTTCACAACTGAAATTTCAACATATACAACAATGATTCAATTAGTATTGCCAAATGATATGCCAGATTATTGTGCTATGTTAAGGCTAATTTAATAATTAAATATAAAACAATTTGGCTAGAAATAGGTGATTAGACTGCCATCTCATGATAAATGTAATAATTAGAAACAAATGAATTTTTAATTTAATTTTAGAATTTTATTTCTTTTCCTTTTTAATCTCTAATTACTAAATTTATTACAAGATGGCATAACTACTTATGTTTAGACAAATTGCTTTATATTTAATTATTAAATTAGCTTTAATGTAGTCTAATAAATCTGCCAGATTGTTTGTCAATACAGTGAAATATTTTGTAAAAATTGGAAGCTAAGAAACTTATTAATGGAATAGGAACAAAATGATACATAAAATATGAAATTCTAAAGGAACTGATCACATGTATATTATGTAAAACTATAAAAATAATATTCTGCAGGGAAGAAATCATTTGTTAAATGAAATGCTTTATTTATTTAATGGGCTTTATGAAATAAAAGTAAATTATTTTTGTTATTGAAGATTATTTTATGTAAATTATATAAAGTTATAAATTTAGTTGTGTCTGATCTGTAGATTGCCAGTGAATTTTTCTGAAAGAATCAAATTATTTGGCAGTAGTCACTCAAAATATCAAATAGAATAATAATAGTTTTAAATTAATTAAACAATTACAACTACTTAGACCTGAACAAAATTGCATATTATCTTGTAATCAAGATGATTACATGATTTTCATATTTTATCTGATTAAAGATTGTATTGCTTTTTGAATTGAAACATAATGTTTCAAAAGTTTTAAGTGTTTTTACTTTTCAGCTAACATGTTTGTCAAAAATACTGAGAAGTAATGTAATAGTTTATTATTTTTAATCTTTCAAATAAATAAATAACAATATTTTTGATGAGAAAACCAAACTATCACTGTCATTAATCGGACTACTTTTTGCTGCTATTAATAATTAGATATTAAGTAATTTGGTATTAGAGGAAGACATTAGGTGCCATCTCTCATTGAAATTAATAATTATAATAATAATATAATATTTATTAAATAATTTTAAAATAGTCTGGAAGAAAAGAATTGGTTTGGAGTTAGAGTCAAACCTGCAACTCCCGCTTCCTGTGCAGTTTGAATCCAACTCTGGGCTTATTCCTGACTATTCTGAAATTATTTAATAAATACTAAATTATTATAATTATTAATTTCAATAAGAGATGGCACCTAATGTCTTTCTCTAATATCAAATTACTTAATATATAATTATTAATAGTAGCTAAAAACAGCCTGATTAATTATGGTAATCATTTTTTTTAAATAAGATAAAATTACAAAGGCTTTTTAAACAAAATACAGAAATAATTTTGAATTATTTCTTTAAAATGTATACATAAAGTTTGTTCTTTAAATGTTTTACAATAATATTTAAATAATTTAACAGCTTTGTGTTAAGTTAATCTTGTTCTCACAAGAGAGGAAAAAAACCCTATAAAATATTCTGTTTTCTGTTACAGCAAATCTAATCATTCTAACATTTTCTAGGATTCAAAAAGTAAATTCTTAAAGATTGTTAGAAAGATTAAAAAATAATAATAAACTACAATTATTTAAGTGTTCTTCTCTAAATAAAAATGAATGTTTAATTCCAAAAAACATTTAAATGATTAAAAAAAGAGAGTAAGATTGTCGTTTTACTTAAAATAATAATAATAATAGTTTTAAATTAATTAAACAATTACAACTACTTAGACCTGAACAAAATTGCATATTATCTTGTAATCAAGATGATTACATGATTTTCATATTTTATCTGATTAAAGATTGTATTGCTTTTTGAATTGAAACATAATGTTTCAAAAGTTTTAAGTGTTTTTACTTTTCAGCTAACATGTTTGTCAAAAATACTGAGAAGTAATGTAATAGTTTATTATTTTTAATCTTTCAAATAAATAAATAACAATATTTTTTAAATGATAAAAAATCATAAAAATTAAAATTTAAAAATTTAAAAATTGCCAAGAAAATTTTTACTCTAATTTATACTTGGAACACTCTACATGTTCTATTTCTTCAAATTGTTCTTTTTTGCCTGAGGATGATGAATTTTGAAAGTACTTGCGAGACAAGAAAAATTGTGTTAACACTAAACTCAGTGCTAGTTATCAANAATTGTCTGTTTTAATTAAATGTTTTTCTTTTGTTAACGAAAACTTTTATAAAATTTTGTCATTGTTCAATGATTTTTTTTTCTTATTATGAATAAAAATGAACAAAGTCAGAAAGAAATTAAGAATTATTTTAATACTACTATAAATATAATATAAGTTTAAAAAATTAAAATTAATTTAAAATCATAGAACTTTTTAAATTTCTCAATTAATTTAATCAATTTTTTAAAAATAGGATAAATAAGATATATGCCACTAGTTTTAACTAAAAAAAAAGTTCAGTTTTTTTGGTGTTAAATTGTTGCTGAGTTTCGTTTTAAAGAAATAATTCAAATTGAATCTAAAAGTAAAATAAATATGTTGCAGGAGGTACACTTATATCACTCATTACTGCCAACAATAGAATTGTTTGTTTGTTTAGTTAAGTTATGGCAATGCAGTACTTGAGCGATCTGCTAGGGGGAATGCCTTCTGGATGTCTTTTTAAGGGTAACTGGCTGCTATTCAGGTGTTACAGACATGAAGAAAGCCAGGAAAACTTCACATGCCAGCCCATCCTGACGAGGCGTGAACCCACAACCAAACTCCAGTGTTCAGGGAATGGAACTGCTTGACTACTGGTGGCCTGACAATAGAATTTCTTTTTATTTATTATATAAGTCTATTTTTGAATAACTGAAAAAGAAAATTTTGAAATTTCAACATTTATAAGTGATTAAAATTAACAGGTGAAACAGGTTTTGTAGCATAGCTTTGCTGCAAACTAAAAATTTTTTTAACTGTCTTGGTCTCAATATTTTGTTTTCTTGGATGATGCCACTGCTGCAAAACATTACTTGGAATTTAAATAATTCTTTCTGGCTATAATTTTCCAATAAATAGAGTATTGAAAGTATATGCCGATTAATTATATATGAACTTTCGATGCAAACTGGAAGTCAAGTTATTTCAATTTAAAACTTTTCCCCTGAATGCAGTTAATTGATGACAGTCACAACTCCATTGCTAACAGAAAAGTATAATGTATTGTACAGGGACAAGACACTACAGTACTAATTTGAGATGCAAAGCATATATTTTAAATGAAATAAATTAAAAATATGATTAAAAATTGCAGCCAGCATTGTGACAATGTCACAATAAATCATTTGTTTGTAATAATTATTTTTATTTTTGTTAAGTTTAAATTTAACATGGTTTTATTTTACTTAGAATGTTTTTGAGTTCTTTTTTCATTTAAATTTTTGTGTTGTTCCAACCGATGAAGACCTATATAACTAGGTTGAAAACAATTTTGGTCCATTAAAATTTATTGCTGGAGTTATTCAAGGTGTGCTTATTTTGTTCATTTACTTATCCAGTTTTGGAAATTCTTATAAGAAAATCATATTTAATTTTCTTTCAGTGGTTTATTAAATTTAGTAATTGTGAACTAATTTTGTTAAATTTTTATTAATTAATAAATAAAACTTTATAAGTGTGTGTAAATTTTGTATATTATAGGGTCCAAAAATTGGAAAAAAGAAAAAAAAGAAATTTGGAAAATGGGAAGATTATATAGATCGTGGAATGGGATATGATGAAAATGATTCCTTTATAGATAATGATGAGGCTGTGAGTATTTATTTGAATTTTTTAAATTTTATTCAACAAGGTGTATTTGATTTGAAAATTTTCTATATTCCATGATTTAAAATAATTACTTTAATGTAGTTTGATATAATTTATTTGCAAAATATAGAATTTGGAGTATCTTGAATTTTAAATCAAATAAAGAATACAGTCAAACCTCTAAATCTTGAATTTGAAGGGATAAAAAATTGACAATTTGAGTTATAGATAATTTTACATGTGAAGATATATGAAAAATAAAAATTTTATTTAGACACAAATTACAAAGCAGTAGAATGAGAATTGTAGTTCTGTGATATATTTAAATGTATGATATTAATTTGAATTATTATCAGAACAATATATAAGGATGAATTAAATAAATATCATGAATTTAGGTATATTACAAGATTACCTTTCTATGCTATACTGAAATTACTCAAAAATCAATTTTCACATAATACATTATATCAAATTTTGATATTCCCATTAGATCTTTTGGGTTTTTCACTAAACTGGTAACTGTACTCATGAACAATGGGTGCATTGTCTGGTAAAGCAGTTTTAATACAGCTGGATAAGCAAGCCAATGACATGGCCCATTTCATTCAAGACAGACTGTTGGTTGGCTTAGTAGCTGTATTAAAGCTGCTTTACTAGATTATGTGCTGAAAGAATTTATGAAACCTAATAGATTGTTCAATACTTGCTGAATTCAGTTTAAGGAGGGACAACATTGAGATACATGAAATTTTGTTTGATTTCAGGAGTAGAAAAATACATTATATTATATATAGTGTTTTGCCAAAGACTGATAATCGAGTTAAAGAGTAATTCAAGAAAGAGAGGATTTGAGATTAGAGGTTTTACTATATTTTGAAAATTCTTCTCCAATAGTGAATATATAAAAACATTTGCAATTCATATGAAAAAGTCTATTTTTGTTTATTTGAATTAAAACTTAAGATATTTTATACATTGTTTTGTGAAGGATAATTGATTACATTAGTTTAAAATAATATACAGTAGACTCCCATACAACATGGGGGAATACGTTTCACATTATAGGGGACGTACATTATCGGACCAATTTATGCAAGTTCCAACATGTCTCTAAATTTTAACTGTTATTGCAAAGAGTCAAAGATTTCTCAAACATTTTTCCAAAATTATAGAGGAAGGCAATTATATAGCAGAACAAGCCTATAACATTGATGAATTTGCTTTGTGTTGGAGAAGAATGCCTAACAGAACATATATTACGAAAGATGAGACTTCTGCTTCTGGTTTCAAGACATCAAAAGACAGGATAACTTTACTTTTGTGTTCTAATGCAGCTGAAGAACATATAACTAAGTCAATGTTAATTAATCGTACATTAAATCCATGTGTAATGAAAAATGTAGACAAATCAATGCTACGTCTTCACTGGAGAGCTAATAAAAAAGCATGGATTACATGCAAAATGTTTAAAAATTGGTTTTATAACTGTTTTGTACCAGAGATTGAAGATTATTTAGAATGAAAAAATTATTTTTTAAACTGTTGGCTTCACTGTTCATATATAAACAACTGGTAAGTGTATATTTTCCCTTTTCTAAACAAAAAATCTGAAACTATGTGAAAATGTTAAATTTATCTTACGCATTATGTGGGACTGTTTATCATGCTGTATGAGTTCTAGTTGCAAAATTTTTATTGCATTATACGAATCCGTGTTATAAGGGATTGCATTATATGGGATTTTACTGTATACATATATAGCTATGAGCCTTCTCCTTCCCTGTAAATACAAATTGTTCTGCAGTGTGTACCATTGTATTTCCTAGTGTTATCCAACAGTTCCCCTTTGCGGCTCATGTCCTCCTTTTTCCACTTTCAAACATCCAACCATCCCATCCTCCTAACTTTTCCTCAAATCACTCTCCTTCCTTCCTTCACCCATCTTTCTTATCTTTTAAGGCTACACCTTTGAGTACAGCCTTTTCTTTCACATGTATGTATGTATGTATGTATGTATACATATATACTAATGTAAAATTTAGAATATCACATACATTTAAAAAAATGCTTTAAATTATATTTGTATATTTTATTATTATACAGTTGAATCATTTTAATTTAAATACCAGGAGAAATCTGAATAATTTTAAATTATTGATATCAAAAATTCAGATTGTCTTTTTGAAAAATTAAAGTAGATTTTGCTATTTTCTAATATGTGACAGTATTCTGATATTGTATTTTCTGTGTTTTTCTTACGTCTTTAATAACCTCAATTTTATTCACTAAAGATAAATTTGTGTTCAAAAAAGTGCATGTATTTCCAACTATTACATAACCATAACCAAAGAGTCCAAGATGATAAATTGAGGAATAATTGATACAAATTTATTAAAAGATTTGAATGAATGGCATCATTAGGATTCTATTGTTGACATGCCATCAACAAAGTTTCAGAATTTTTATAAGGCAAAATAAGTAGTCATTTATTATTAAATATATTTGTCAAAAGTGAATAAGATTGAAATATGAAGATTTCTGTTGTTTGTATCTTAAGTTAAAAGGATACAAATATTTGGATATATCAGAAAAATAACGTGTTTTCAGTTTTTTAATATAAGAATAATAATTTACTCAGTATCTTCTTTCTTTACTAGTCTTTCCTTTTTGTTGTCAAATTAAATTTCTGACTTTTCATATTTAAATTTTTAAAATTATTATTCATTTCTTAAACTAACTATTTATCATTAGGTTTTTTATAGTGATATAATTTTTTGAAATATTATAATAAAACATTAATTCTGTATATTTTGAGGAAACTGGGAGATAACATTGCTCTAAACATTTTGTTTTGAGTATAATTATTTCAAGACTTTTGGATTGATAATCAATGCAGAAATTTTATACATTACATTTTTGAAATTTTCAATATTGAGATGATATGTAACTTTATTTAATAATCATATCAATACTAATTTGTTGGAAATTAGAGAAGCATATCAAAGAAAATTAGAATAAAATATAATTTAAGTTACATATATTAGATGTTTTATATAGAAAGTTTACAACAGAATATTAAATATTAGTTTTATTTGAAGAAATATAAAAATATCACCATATTTAGTCTGTATAAAAGTTTAGATAATCTAAAAATTTATTATTAATTAAAAATATTTTTCATTTCTTAAAATATTATATGTTGCTATTACACAAATTATACATTGTAAATACTGTCACAAATAATAATCTCACCCTTACAATTCTGTCATCTAAAACTTATGATCTAATATATTTCTGTATACAAAATATTATTGTTAATTCTTGAATGTTAAGATTAAATTAGTAAAATTTATTAAATTCCTGTGAAATCTGATAGCATGTATATTGACTTTTTTTTTCTAAGTCTAATTGTTTTTATTAATTTTGTCTGTTGCTATAGCAATGCCCTGCTTTGGCTTATGTCAGATAATTTTAGCATAATTAGTAAATTTACTCACATATAGTAATCAACTTTTACTTAAAAGTCACTGATAAAACAATAATAAACTACAGGAAAATAAATTTATTTTTTGTTTTTATTTACATTTGAATAAATTGTTTTATTATAATTATCTTATTATAGTAAAATAATAATATTTTTATTTTATGAATCAAAGCTTTTTATAATTATTTTCTACAGCAAAACACTTCAAACTTTATTTTAATAGATGAATAGAACTGTCTGTTATTAATTAAAGTTGATGCAACTAATTTATAATCAAAATAAATTTTCAACACAATTTTAGTAATTAATTTTTTAAAAAATTCTTAAAATGAATATATTGAGAAACTTGATTTATTTTTGTATCATATAAGTTATTATATATCATATTTTTGTATCATATAATGATATTTAATAAGAAAATAGGTAAATCTATCAAAATTTTTATCTTTATACAAGTGCTGATAATACTGTCAGTCTGTTGATGTATTTAAAACAAAAACCGTGATTGATTGAAAGTCACTGGAAAGTGAGATTCTGAATATAATTATTAATTTTCAAAAATTTCCCTGAAAAAAATTCTAAGAACTCATTAAATTTTCAAAAATTTTATAAAATAGTATGATGAACTTGTCCCATCTACGTTAACGACCCAATATGGTGGATTTTACATCAATTCGGGTGGCCTGGAATTCAGAGCTGTGTCGGATTCGGATTCTGAAGAGTTTACAGACGAACAGAAACCAAGGAAAAAGGTATATTTTATTTTATATTTCAACAAATTATATCTTAACAGATCCATTTTTGATTTTTTATGTTTGTAATATTGTTAGATGTCGATTGAAATTTAGAAATAAAGAATATTATTTAAGAAATATTTAATATGATCTATATATATTTAATGTTTCTGTATTAAAGTTTTTGTAATTATTAATAGAAGAGAAGATTGATGGATAAAGACACCCGACGAAGGAGAAGATTAAAAGAAGGTGAACATGTTCCAAAGAAAAGAGGAAGAAGACCTCTAGATAAGTCATTTAGGTATATTTTTATTTTATTTTTAATTCATATTAGAATATTTGAATTTATCTAATTTAATATATGAAAATACTTCAATTTGATTGTTGGTCTTTTGTAAAACTTACATGTTACAACTGTAACAACAAAATCTTGTGAAAAACAGATGTATAAAAACTGGAACAGAGTTCAACATTAATAAAAATTACCTTCAACACTTCTCCAGCACAGTTTTAATTACTGGATTATTTTGGCTTTCTTTATAAGCTTGTATCAGGTCTACATATTAACTGAAATTTCTAACATTCTAAATTGGAATGTTAAAATGTTTCATGATGGTTTTTTAAATTTAAAAGCTAGAATGTTTCAGGCTTTACATATATACATAAAATCAAAGTTTGAGAATTATATAGAAATTAAATATAATACAAATTTTATAAATCATAATAATTTCAATAAGAATCTATAGTATATTTCTACCCTGTTTATTTCTCCTCTGCTGGTTATAGATTTTTATTGAAATTGTAATGATGTTTTATAAAATTTGTATTATATTTAATTTTTATATAATTCTCAAACTTTGATTTTATGTATATGTGTAAAGCCTTAAACATTCTATCTTTTAAATTTCTAAAAACATCATGAAATATTTTAACATTTCAATTTAGAATGTTAGAAATTTTAGTTCATAAGCTTGCATCAGGTCTACATATTAAGCGAGCTAACAACATCCAGTAATTAAAACTGTACTGGAGAAATGTTGATTCTTATTGTGTTAAAAACCTTGTAAGATTCAGAAAAATATTAAAGGAAATCTTGGGAAAAGTTTTCTAAATCTACTGTAGATTTTTTTATAAAATAATTTTTTAGATTTTTCAGCTCAGTTAGATTTGATTTATTTTAAAAATACTTTATTTCAAGTGCCATAGAAAATATGTCTTTCAATACAACTTCACTAAGTTAAGAAATTATGTAAGGTTTTTAAAAACAGAATTTTATTCTTTAGTACATTAAGTGTGGATTAGAATTCTTTTGACCACTTATTTTATTCTATTGCTATTTGTGTTTTTGGAGATCTTATAGTTGTTTTTTAAGCTCCAAGCAGTTTCATATTTTACAGCCCATCATCAGAGTATAAAATTCAGAAGAAACTGTAAACACCATTATATAAATCTTTATTGAATGTTTTTCTTTAACCCAACAAACATTTTCATTAAATGTATTAATCTCAAGTAGACCTGTGCTTGGATATATTTATTACATTTTTTCTTAAAATAAATTTAAAATGCTTGTGAAATTCCTGAATTATTCTTGCTTTTCCTCAATTTATTTTTCTTGTATATTTAAAACTCTCACTAAAAAATGCCTAATTTATAATTTATTATTTATTTTTTATTATTAGCTATATTATTATACCTATATTTCTCCATTCCTTAATTTTTCTAAAATATTTTCTCTATCTCATGTTAATCTGTTTTTAGTGCTTGCTTTACTATTGCAGTAGCTTTTCCTTTCCTTTAATCTTTTTGTTTATTTAACTTAATTCTATATTTTTCTTTGTTACTCCTAAATTGCATTGTTTCTCCAGTTATTCATTAGTACAATATGAACACTAGTTCTGTCTCTTAATGTCTTATCCTTCTTTTTTTCCACATTGTCAAATGCTATACAATTCTTCTTTAAAACAGCAGGAAGTAATAAAATTTGAAGTTTGTTTTTTTTCTTCTAATTTATATTTTAAATTGAACTCTTTACAGATAATAAACGTTAAACTATTATTAATATAGTAATCAAAGTTTGTTTGTTTGTGGCTTCCTTTGGGTCTTTCTCTTCACAGATAGTGCTACTTTATAACATATTATTATTAGTTATTTTTTATTGTTGTTAATAAGAACAATAAAAAATAATTTTTTTATTTAGAAGCATGATATATTAAATTAGTTATTGATTTCCTATAACTCCTGTTCTTTTTAGTGAAGCCAGGATAAATTTGATTATATTGTTTTTATATTCCAATGGAAAGTGTAGACTACTTAATTTGTGGAAATATTAGCTATATATACATATATATAAAAGTTTTATCAACTTCAGTTTGATGACATTGCTTACATTGCAGTATTATCAGTAGCATCATTTACCTTAAGTTGCATTTTAAAATATTTTGGCAAATGGCATAATTTTAAGTTTTGAATTTTTAATTTAATAAAATATGGCTACTTTTTTAAAATTTAACAGTATTATATTGATACTACAATATACTTTTTAAAAAATGTTTGATAGTGACCATGTGACATTCTATTATCCAATTAGATCTAACAAACCTGTTATTTAAAATGTATTAACACAAATCAGTTATGTTTTTTAATCAGTTAAATTTTTAAATTTTAATTTTAAAATTTTTAAAATTAAAATTTAAAAATTTAAAAATTGCCAAGAAAATTTTTACTCTAATTTATACTTGGAACACTACATGTTCTATTTCTTCAAATTGTTCTTTTTTGCCTGAGGATGATGAATTTTGAAAGTACTTGCGAGACAAGAAAAATTGTGTTAACACTAAACTCAGTGCTAGTTATCAAGAGACTATACAATTTTGGCATGAGTTTTTATTTATCTATTTCTATAATAATTAAAACTCTGGATTTTACATGGAAACTGAAACTAAAATTACAAATAAAATTAATTAAAATCAAATCAATTGAAACATAATATTTCAGAAAGTGTGGATAAAGTACTTGTTGTCTGTGTTGGTTGATTTGGTTTTATTTCATACAGGCAGAGTGAAATCTCTAATTATAACACTTTTTTGTAAAGTGATGGTTTTGATATATATAAGATGGATATAGATGTAGATAATATTATATTACATTTGTAAGCATTTTTTATGGATAAAATACAGCTAAAAAGTGTGATATATGAGTACAGCTAAAAAGGTAAAGAAAGGGGTTCGTGTTGGGGTTGGGAATGTGGGAATGGATTAATCCATTTTACATTATTTCTTATGAGAAAATTTGTTTGAAACCATTTTGTTCTTATGAACAAATTGATTTCTGAACAACTTTTAGAAATGAATTAAGTTCATAAACCGAGGTTTGACTGTATTTATAATTAAACACTTTTTAACATTTTTTCTGTTAAAATGCCTTACTTATGTGTTTTTCAATAATGAATAACATTTTATCTTGATGTTTTTGAATATACAGAGTAAAATTTTATTATTCAGAATCAAGTATACTATTTTAGAAAAATACATGCAAGTGTATTCACTGAGTCTTTGTTGCTAGAATTTTTGCAAGTTGAGCATGCTTTTTTCACTTTTTTCTTTATAGCTAATAAGCAAACAATAGTAAGTAGCATTTAATGGTTTTTTTTTTGTTCATAATGTCAGTAGTTGGAGAAACACAGTTTTGGAGAAGCAGAGTCATATTCAGTGGCACTAGAAGTGGGTTGTCTAGTGTTTTTATAAATGGCATATGATTAATTTTCATATAACAGTTTCATATAAAACAGGACCCTTTTGTATATTTATGTATAAGATAATATTGAAGCCTTATGATTGGTTATATTACTAAATAGAAATTTATATTAAGAAGGGAATTGTTACAGCTTAATAATCAAATTTAAATAAATGCAAATCACAATACTTTGATTTTTAATTTTTTTTGTTAATTGTAAAACAGAATAAAAGATTTTTTAAAAAATACAGTTTTGAATTGACACATTATATTTAAACAGAAAACCGTAATTTAATTTTTTTAAAATTTGTTTATTTCTTCTAATTGTAAACTACAAGGTGCAATCAAACAGAAACTGGATTTGGCCTGTAAAGATTTTAATACAGTAGAGCGTTGTTTATCCGAATCAATTGGGGACTGGGGTTGTTCGGATAACTTATTTTTTGGATAACCGATTATGTACGAAAAAATATATTAACCTATCCCGTGTTGAAAATTTTCTCCATTGCATGTCGCTTCGCATTGAATTTTCATCGATGTTAAGCCTAACATAAACTTTTTAAAATAATAATCATGGCTATTGTATCGTTAAAAACTATTTCTTTATTTTTTACAAACAAAATAAATATATTAAAAAATATAAAAACCAAAAAAATATACTAAAGTTGATTTAGTATCAAAAACGTTCGATCAGCATTACACACAGTCCTCAGAAAAACACCACACAAAAGTGCCAGTGCTGCCAGCTAAAGCACACACATCAACAAAAAAAATATTGGAGTAGCCCAAGATATAGCCAAAGATTGCAGCACCACAGCACTAGTGAAAATTTAAATTTGCCGACTGGAATGCTTTCAGTTAACTGACATTTCAGGTAACTGACTTTTGGATTAACAACGCTCTACTGCATTTAACTCATTTAAATCTGGCCACCATTCTCTCCAAAATAGTTCTCCTACATTTATATAGCAATTTCTCCTCTTCAGCCGAGCCTGAAATGCTACCTGAAAGTTTGTTTCAGATTTTGAAATACCTGTTTTGATTTGAACTAGATTTCCTTGACTATATCAAAATGNTTTTTAAATTTCTATATAATTTTACACAATTTATTACTGTGTATGTAAGAAAAATAATTTTATACTGTACACAACTAGTTTTATTTATTTACATCATAAAATTTTTTTCACAAATTTTATTTATGTAAGATACAATAGTAGAGAAATCACTATAAAAATAACTACATATATTTTATGATGAAGAATAATGATTATTAAAATATTAAATTTACTTTTAGCCACTTATGTTTTGAAATAGTTTCAAAATAAATTTTTCTTTTTTCTTCCTTAAAAAATGAACTTGAAATAACTTGTAAGACATTAGAATTTTTATTTTCTTTTTACAAATTTTTATAATTTTATATAATTGATTGGGTAATGTTGAAGTTTTTCCTCTCAAAAATTTGACTGCATTAAGTGCACCATTTTTTATGTTTATATAATGCCTTTCCTTTAACTTTTATTTATTTATTTAATGAAAGTTTGCACTTTTTATTATTTAGCATAAATTTTCTTTTATTACAAACTTACCATACAGAACTTTTTAGCTAAATGGCAAAAAGTAGACTTTATTTGTTACAGAACTTTGTTTAGTTCTTCTAAAACAAATAGTCTATTTTTTTACCATTTGCCTGAAAAGTTTCTGTATGATAAGTTTGTAATAAAAGAAAATTATGCTAAATGAAAACAATAGAACAAGAAGGTATAGAAACAAAGTTCAAACAGTTATTAGCAGGTTAACATTATTAATTTTGAAAAAACGAAAAATATTTTGTATTTTGAGATGAAAACCTTAGAGAAGTTATGAGACTTTATTCCAAAATTAGTGATCTGCCACCAATGTCAGTGTTTAGTTCATTCATTGTTAAAATATTAATGCATATTTATATACACATTTTTCATTAAATTTAGATAAATAATTTCAATTTATAGGTTCTTGAAATTTAAGAAAACTGTAGTGTTCTATTCTGTAATACTGTCATAATTTTTTATTTTTGTAATTCCAAAATGTAACGTTCAAAAAGTTTAAAAAAAGATTGCAGTTATCGATCATTATGTAAAATAAATCTAGTCTATATTTCTGATTTTTTTTTTAATGCTACAAAGATCATTGTGATGTGATTATTACAAAAATTGCATTACTATTACATAATATTAATACATAATCAAATATAAATCAATTATCCTTTAAGGCAGTGGTCCCCAACTCCTGGGCCACGGACTGGTACCGGTCCGTTGATCAAATGGTACTGGGTCGCCCAAGGAACATTAAATTATTTCCATTTTATTTACTATGGTTTATTTGTCTTGGGTTTGTGCGACTTTTAGTAGACAATGGAACATAAACTGAAATAACGGAATAAACTGGACATAAGAAACACACTTCGGGTGTCATTGTCTCCTATTACCCCCAGATGGAGCTGTCTCGTTGCAAAGAAAGAAGCCCAGAGTTCTCATTGATTTAGCATTCTAGTGAGTTAAAATGTTAAATCACATTATATTCATTTTTTGGTGTAACTGTATTTTATTTTGAAGGCATGTTTAAATACATTTANCAAAAACGTTCGATCAGCATTACACACAGTCCTCAGAAAAACACCACACAAAAGTGCCAGTGCTGCCAGCTAAAGCACACACATCAACAAAAAAAATATTGGAGTAGCCCAAGATATAGCCAAAGATTGCAGCACCACAGCACTAGTGAAAATTTAAATTTGCCGACTGGAATGCTTTCAGTTAACTGACATTTCAGGTAACTGACTTTTGGATTAACAACGCTCTACTGCATTTAACTCATTTAAATCTGGCCACCATTCTCTCCAAAATAGTTCTCCTACATTTATATAGCAATTTCTCCTCTTCAGCCGAGCCTGAAATGCTACCTGAAAGTTTGTTTCAGATTTTGAAATACCTGTTTTGATTTGAACTAGATTTCCTTGACTATATCAAAATGTTGTTTGAGCTTTAATTTAATTCTGGAGAATAAAAAAAGTGACAAGAAGCTAAATTTGTCAGGTAAGGTAAATGGGAAAGGACTGTCATATTTTCTGCCAAAAAGAAGCATGTTTGAAGACTGTGTGTGCAGCAGGAGTATTGATGTGATGGATTCAGGCTTGAGGACAGTGTTGCAAAAGACCAGAACTGCAGTTCTGGTCTTTTGCAACACTGTCCTCACAAAATAATCTCAAATATGCAGTAAATGTCTGAATTCACTATCTGACTGGAAGGAACAAATTCTTGGCATAAAGTCTCTATTATGATTGAAAAAATTACCAACAAATTCTTTGTCACATTCTTGATTTGACTTATCTATCTCCTTGGGTCTCTTTCACTGAGATGACTTGGCTGCTTGGTCTCCAGATTATAGCCATAAACATGACTCTCATCCCCTGTAGTGACTCTTGAAACAAAGGTAGGATTATCAGTTATTTATGAAGATATTTGCAGATGTTAATGCAATGATTTTTCTGGTCTTAAGTTAACAAATGGGAATGAATTTGGCAACAACATAATGCATACCCAAATTGTCTGAACAGCACCAAATGAAATACTAGTGGTGTCAGTAACTTCCTGAAATGTAATTAGACAATCATTATGAATAAGTTTTTGAATTATTTGTTTTTTGGCATTGAGCTGGTGCCAGTCATCCAGTCTTCTCATTGTTCTCCAGTAATATTTGGTTTTTTTTTTAAACATGGGTGCCACTTAAAATACTGACTTTGGCCCATGATTTTGTTGCCAAAGACTGGCTTTTGAAAGAATTTCAAGGGTCTGTGGCAGATTTTCCAACTTTAATGCAAAATTTAATGCTCTCTCCTTTAATGTCCTTGCTCAATTTTCAAGTTTATTTTTGAGTTGCAGTACAATACTAATACAATATTATCAAATAATGTGTAGCAAATATTCTGGTTCGACCAACTCAATACCATGTGGCAGACTGATGTTCAAATGCTTAGGACAGCAATTAGTGGAAACAGTCCAGTTTTTTTTTATTGCACCATGTTACTTTATTTTTATTATTATACATTATTAAAATTGATTTTTAGAAAAATCTGAGTACTTGATATTTTACTGTAATGATACAAAAGAAAAAGCTCTTTTTATAAGTGAGGAATTTATTGTCAAAAAATATTGTCATTTGTATTAGTTTTTTTTACGTTTACAATTGAATATAAATTGCTATTTTTTAATTTATTATATTTTAAAGTTTTGAAATATGTTTTAAAAAATTTCATAAAAATTTACTTGTCAACAGTGCCTTACAGTTATCAAGAAAAAAGAGACAGCCGACTGTTGCAGCTCTATTGCAGCAACATAAGTCACAGTTGCAAGTGGAACCAATTGTTAACGAAAATTCATTCCAGTCAGAAAATGGTGAAGAATGTGCTGAAGATAATGTGAAAGGAGACATTAGTTTAAATGAAGTTGTAGATTCTGTCGTTAAGTCTAATGAAGAGAGAGTTAATAATGGAAATGCAGCATTGACTGCAGGAAGCAGTGATAGCGATGAGCATATTAGACTTGCAATAGAACAGATTAATGCTCCTAAACTACCAGATAATTTATCATCAGATCTCGAAGCAATGATAACTAAATTGAAACAAGTAAGTAGATTTAGCAAATACACAGATAATTCAAATAGAGCACGATCATAAACTGATTTTAAAATTTTAAATTAAAATAAAATGTAAATACACTAAGATTATGTGTAGAATTTTCTGTTATGCTTATAATGTAATAATTGAATTTTATAAGTACACAATGTTACAAGTACATTAAAATTGGGAATGTTTGAATAGTGTGAGATCCGAATTACCCCTGGGTCTAATTAACAATTTAAATATATAGCTAAAATAATGAAGTAAAATATTCTTTCATTTTGGTGTGAAAATATCGTTTTTCTAACGTGGGAAAACTGATAAAAGAGCCACTTCCTTTAACGGAAGTAGACACATCCTTTTGTTTTCCACTTATCTATCACAAATTCACCACCCTGGGAATTGTCGACCCCTCAATAATTTCCCTTTTCATCCGGTCACGTAAGAGAATACAAATATGCTGATTGGTCATAAATCTGGAGATATAGTCAAAGATCTGCATGATTCAGGGAGTACGTCCGAAGATCTCATAGGAAAAGGAGGTATCCCATACTCGTTCCCTAAGGCTAACACCCTTAGTTAGGAGTACGAAAAAGATCTCAGAGAAGACCGACGTAGTCCATATTTGCTCCACAACGCCCTTAGTTGTATCCAATTGAATATAATAATGAGTTAATTTAGGAGTAAAAGAAGAACTTTTAATATTGTGCCAAATCAAGACCTCTCCATGAAACGAAGTATGATCATCGAATACAGATGAACATAAAGACAAAGTAAACTTTGAGGTAGTGTGATTATAAATGAATTTGGGAGCTCTCTCTCTTGAAGCATATATTTAATTAATCCATTGTCTCTCATTCGCTTAATTCTATCTATATATATATATAAAAATGGACATGTATGTCCTTATATCTCACTTTTTCGCCAAAACTACACATCGCACGTGAATGGTGTTTGTATGTGGTGGTAGCCCCAAGTCTCCATTCGTCCATAGGGGTGGTTGCATCTCAATAGCTATAAGGTTGTGGGAGATAAGAGGCTAAAAGTGGTTGAAAGTGGCTTTCTATTTTGAATGTTTTGTTCGATTTTTTCAAATTTGTTCGAATTAAATTTGAACATAAAATTCCAGAAACGTTGAAATTTGTTCGTTTGACTAAACGTAAAAATTCTCTAATTAGTCTGGAAACGGAGGACCTAATTCTTGCATTTTGTGAAAACGGGTAAGATTAGCTATAATGTAATTATCTTAATCTACACTATCGTTACTTTTTGCCCAGCGAAGCGAGTCCTTGCAGCTAGATTCTAGATTACTTAGAAAAACAGTCTTTTATATATATATAAAAAAACTATATTACATAAAAATAAAAACCCAGCGAAGCGGGATCTTGCAGCTAGTTTTGAATAATTCCATTTGTGGAATTTTATTTACTTTTATTTTATTAAATCTTTTATTACTTGTTAAAGAAATATCTCATCTTTGTCTGAATCACATCCATATTATCTCCACATGCGTGTTAATCTGTGTATCTAAATATGATTAAATGGTGTCGGGATCCTGACGTAGGAACAAAGAATTGTGAAATCCTTTAGTTCCGCTTTAGATATAATCAAACTGTAAGTCCCTCCACCCTTAATTTTCCTTGAATTAGGAAAAGCCATTCTTTTTGACAACTGAGGACTATTCTCACGGAATAGATGCCAATTAAGTTATACACAAGTAATAAACTACTCCATATCCCCGGCTAGAATCTCACAATAGAGATACTATGATTAAAAACTAACACAGATGTTAATTTTTTTATTTTTAGCCCTTACAAAGATAAATGAGTCAGAGATATGAAACTAACATCCAAATAATAGAAATAGTTGCTTTTGCTTTTAAAACTATTATATAAGCCTAAACAAAAAAATCTATGTGGGTTGATGACACTCAATGCAAGTAAATTCTTTTCCAGTTCCAAAAGCAAATATTTGTTATTCAGGTGTTAGTTTTGTATTTTTGTAAGGAGTTAGATACAAAACTAATATTTTATGGTAGTTATTGTCTTCAAATAATAATTAATAATAATANTTTTATTTTTTGATATTTTTCTTGTATATGAATTAAGTAAGTGTTATTTGTTTATGTACTAAATTAACTTTTTAAAAAATGTTTAATTATACCTTTCTTTATTGCATAATGTATGTATTGGAATTGGTAAAAACTTATATTGTTTAATTATCCTCTGAGCTAGCATAATAATAGATCTTTATTACTTTCTTTTATGTGTTACTTGAATTTATATTTCATGAATTTCTTAGTGTGAAGTATTTACTAAACTTTATAGATAGATAATTAAATTTTACAAATGAACTATATTATAAAAAATAATAAATAAAAATTGTAAGTTTCACTAATAGTATCAAATTTAAATGTTATTTTAGGAACAAACCAAAGAAGCCTATGTTAGTTCAAAGAAAACCAGGAATTCCCTTAGGGATCCAAGTTCCTGTTGTTCCTGCGGGTCGTCTGTCTTCAAGTGTTGTTCTCTCTCCAATTGCAACGGGCCAAGAATTAGCAGAGGGTATGTCAAACATGAAGGTTCCTACTACATCAGGTGATGATGGAGAGAGTTTGGGTACATTGATTGCAGTAACAACTGCAAACAGTGCCTTATCTGAAGAACAGAAACCCCATATTCTACCAGAAGTTTCTTCTGTGCTACCTTCACGTGCTATCAGTGTAGTGACAAGTTCTGTTCCATTGCAGCAAAGTGATAAAGAAGCTCCTTCATCAACTGTTAGTGCCAAATCCAATGTTTCATCTGAAATAAAGAATACTGGTCATACTGTTCAGGAGAATAAATCTAGCATATCTTTAAGTCAGATAGGTTCTCCTAGTAAACGAATCTTCACTTTAATTAATTCGGGCGATGCTGCCCAATTACAAGCTCAACAAGCTTCGCAGCAAACTTCACTAGCTTCACAAATGTTAGATCGTATTATTTGTGCTAGCTTAGCAAATTTTCCAAATTCGGGTTCTTCTACTACTGAACCCGGACGATACAAACCACTGAGCATAGGTAGAGACCTGAATGCTACAGAACAAAATGTTCGTCCATCACCTAAGAGTGCTTTAGAAGTATCACAACCTAAATTGGATTGTGTGTCAGTAAAACCTCCATCCCCTGCCAAAGTAGATACTCAGGTTGGCAGCCCAAGTACTTTAATTCGATCACCTTCTATTGGTGTTAGCATTTTAAAATCATCTTATCAATCTCCCACTGAACAGAGGCAAATTCATGGGAGAACAACCTCACTGCCAGAACAAACTAAAGGATTAACAACAACACTAGTTGGCAATACTAGTGTATCTTCTAGGAAATTCCAATCAATACCTGTTACAACTTCTGCAAATACTGTTAATACTAGAAAAACTGAGGAACTGAAAATGCCATTTCATTCTTATGAATTTTTAGAAGCATTCAAACGTACACTTGAAAGTTCTCCTGAGCCTTTACAACCTAGAAGTGAATCTTCTACTGTGCTTTCTAGTTCTAAAGTAAAAACTGCTTTGTCAGAGAATACTAGAGAACTTTGTGATGAACCAATGAACTTCAAGAAATTACAAAGTTCTGTAGATAGTGTTTCTTCCCTGATACCTCAGGATTTTTCTTCCAAACAAGATAATCCAACAGTAGTGCATTTGTCAGGTACCTATAAGCGTTCTAATCCACAGGTACGAAGTATGCAATTGACTAATTCTCTTAGAGTTCAGCGATCCTCTCCAGAAACTGTTTCTACTCCAGTATCATTTCCAGAAGGAATGAAAGGTTTTCCTCTTCCCATAAAATCACAAAGTACAAATCCTTCTTGTATAAGCTCATTATCAACAACTAATCCCACGCATGGATTAGTCAGTCGAACGTCACCGGCACAAGCTCACGAACCTGGATTTACCAGTCCCCACAGGCATAATTCACCATCTCCTCATCGTTCTGTAAGTGCTCATAGTCCCAGTCATGGACATCCATCATCCGCTGGAAACAGTGCAAGTCATAATCCATACCAATCAACACCTCTTTCACATTATCCTCCAGTAGAAACTACTCATAATCGTACAATGGTAAGGAAAGTAATGAAATTGTTATAAATTTATTTACTTAATTAAAATATTTATATATTAAGATTTGTAATTACATGTTTGAAAAGTACTTTTAATATTTAACTTGCAAAGGAGTATTTGAAAGATTTATATTGAGTTGGTCTTTACTATGTAAGAAACATTAAATTTTGCTTATTTGAGCTAATTAATATTGTTTTTCTACTTCATTATATTGTATCTCTTCTTTCATATTTATATAAAAAATTATATTTTGGTGTAAAGAATGATAAAAGTTTTAATTCTAAGCAAAAGGCTAAATCTTCAGGATAGTGAGCAGTTTCATAAAATATTTAAATGCTAATAATGAATAACATCTTCATTAAGTCCAATTATTCTCAAGATATGACACATTAATCACCATCTCCTCACCTTCTTGACATTTAACCACCAAACTTTAATAGCATCAATGCCTCTTATACTCAAGCTGACATGCAAAATTTTTTCTTTATCATTACACCATACTGAGATATTAAATGAAATGGACACCAAACACGCACACAGATTTTTTTTTTTTTTACTGTCTTTGGTTCTGGAGGTCTCAAAACTTTGAGATTTGCAAAAAAAAAAATTTGAGTCAAATTTGACCTGAGTACAGTGCTTTTCCTTGTTATGTATATGTTACTGTGAATAATTGATATCTGGCAAATGTCAACATTCTCCGGTGAATGTCAGCATTCACACAGTCGTTTCGTATATGTACGAAATATTTGCTAAATATCATTATTTCTCACTTACACAGGCAAATGTCGACATTCAGCATGCAATGATGAATGTCGACATTTGGCATGCAATGATGGTGAATGCTGAATAAAAATATTTTTATTATGTTTTAAAACAAAAATGCAACTTTTTAATATGTCAAAATAGGAGAAAGCTTAACCCTTTTATTACTGTTTGCAATGCCCCTTTGTTTAGTGTATTTTCTAAAAGGGCCAAGGGCAATATAGGTCAGACAAGGTCAGACAGGTGATATTATTTTAAAAATTCACCAAAAATCAAGTTATCGTTATATTCATATGACAAAATCACGTTACATTTATTAATATCTGTAGTTATAAATACGATATTTTTAAATACATTTCAATAAAAAATTCAATAGAAAAAAAATTATAATATATCAGAACTGACATCTAACTGTGAAAATTTGTAACATTTTGTTAAAATTTATATACTAGGGTTAAGTAGTTTGTTCTTGGCACTAAGCCAGAAAGACTTGAAATATTGTTCTGTATGATTCTGCATAACATTTATGAATGTACGATTTTTCGTTTTAAAATTATCACAGATTATATAAATGCTTTGTTTGGAATCAAAACTTTATTTTGCTATCAATTAATATTAGGAACTAATATACTTTATTGACTTTATTTCGAACAAAAATATAAATTTTTGTAATAAACATGTAAACCAGTAGTAATACATTTACCATGTGCTAATATTTTAGATTAAATTAAAAAATAAAACATATATAAAATATCAGAATTGAAGGTCACAATTTAAATATTTATAATATGTTGACTTATTATAACCGAATAAACTTATTATAGCATGAATGAACGTATTTTAGTAATATTATTATGTAAATATGCTATAAATAGAATAAAAAATTATCAAAAGATATATAAATTAAGAAAAAAAAATCACTAAATAAAAATTTTTGAGTCAACAAAACAACACCTGGACAAAAATATGTGAAACAGATGGTAGACAACACACTACTGTCAAGTGCTGGCATCTGTTGTCAATAAATTTCATTAAAATCGATTTTTGGCAGGGTAACGATGAATTGGTACTCTGATCTATTGTCATAACAGTGGGGGTGCGACAGATCGATACCACGGTTGTAAGAAGGTTAAGAAGCACATGTAAATAAACTGTTGAATCTAAAACGAACAGTACATTCTAAATCCTTAAAGAAAATAATACAATAATAAACTTACATATAAATTATGTGATTAACATTATACAATCTTACTTATTGCAACAACTTAAACTGTTATGGCACTTTGAATTGCACAAGAGTCCCTTGCTTTTATAACTGCATTTATTCATGGAACACTTCTTTTTGCAATGACAGCATGTATATCCTCCTTGCCCGCCACTTTTCGAATTAGCTGCAGCTGCTTCTCTCTCTCAGTGATATTTCTTGAGAAGAAATCTCATCTACGAAAAGTAACTTTTCTTTACAAATTATGAACTGATTACATTATTACGAACTGATCTGTTAATGGTGTCTTTTATTCGGATATCGCCGATGCCTTACCGATGACCCCTCTCATCCTCCGCCACTCGACCTGACAAACCGATCCCCCACCTCACGGGATCAAAAGAACAAAAAATGCCATCCAGTGACAAAGTGGGCGGTTTCCACCAAACCGTTGCCTTCCAGGCAACGGTTTGGTGGAAACCGCCCACTTTGAGGTACGACCTTGTCCTACCTCTGGCTACCTACAAAGGATTTGGCAACAGACTGTCGCCTCTCTGTCGACATTGGCTTCTCGGGTGTCATTTCGATCTAGACCAAAGCTTATCTGTGCTTGTTGACATGCACCGGCAATTGTTCAAATGTATAATAATATAACCAAATATTCGGTCTTTCACTGACGTATTTTTTGTGTCGACATTCACCAGAGAATATCAACATTCTATAATTTTGGTCTTTTATAGTAACATATACATAACAGCTGGGAAAGTAAAACTAACATTTAATTGAAAACAAAATAAAATGTTTCTTTGGGAATTTTGAAACAAATTGCTGATGAAATTACTAAATTTAAAGTCCTTTATTTTTAATAAGAAAAGTGTGATATTTAAAATTGAATCCAAATTTGAAAATTTTATGATCAACATTTTTGAAGAAATATTATAATCATATTTTTTTTACCAATGATATGAATTAGTACAGATAATGAGGAAAGAAATATAAAACAAATAACTTGAATTTATAATTTGTTAAATATCATTGAACAGAAATAAATCTCTCAATTTAATTTCATGCACAGATAAAACTTATATAGTAGTGGCCATAGAAATTGCATTGCCTATAATATATAGCAAAAAGCATTCAATAGAATTGCAAAGTAATGTAATTAAGCTGTGACTGTGATTTGGAATGATAACATATATAGTGTAGACAAAAAACCAAGAAAAATATTATTAAAAAAAAGAAATTTTTTACGCAAGTTCCATATAGCATTGTAAGTGTTGTTTTTTACCATAGACTTACCAGTGAGCACTGCTGCAGAAACTTGCCATTTACAGTTATGGAAGGAAAAAAAGGGGTTTACAGCTTAAAATATGCCTGAAGAGCAATGCAAACTGTTATTTTTCATTGAATAGGTTCCTGATAAATTTTAGGGCTTCCTCGAGCCTTAAGAACAATTTTTAATTGCACCAACATTGCGCCAGCATAAGTTTCTTCTATACCAAGCTCATGATATTAAACTGTCTAATACATTGAAGTTTATTTTCAGGGCTTTACTCAACAATTTTTATGTTTATTAGATCTATGCAGGTTAAAAATTCATATTCATCCAATAACATAACAGAATTTCACATCTCAGCATTTGAATTTGCACATTGTTTAGTCCAGATAAGCTGCTTTTTATGCATTTTAGTCATTAGAGAGGTTGTGGCCGTCGTATTCAGCCCAAAATGTGAACAGCGGACTGTCAAGCGTTGTCATCTGGCAATTCTGGACGGTCGATAATGGCGGTCGCTACGTCTAGCAGACGATCAGCTTAAACTTCTTCATTTTTTTGTATTTTGAGTTAAAATTATGAATTTTTTATTAAAATAATGATTATTTAAGCATTTACAAATAATATTGTAAAGAAACAGACGATTTTAATCCAGAAATTATTTAATTATTCAATTTTTTTGCATGTGATGTGAAGTGCCTATAGAATTTACATATATTTGTCTTCATAATAGCTTATCTTAAGGTAGATTTGTTCTTTCATCGCATCTTCTACTATCAACAGCATAATACGTTTGTAAATTTTAAAAAAATTAATTTTCTGAGCTGCTTTCAAATTTACATAAGCCACTATTTCCCTCAACAAAAGTATGAGGTAGGCCTATTGTCTGATTGTACGGTAGGAGACACCACGCTAATTAAAAATAATTATTTAGTGTTATTAAACATCCTATAAATACTTTAAAATAGTTTAATTTCTTTATTTATCTTCATTGGTAGCATTCGTTGTCAAATGGTTCCGCCATTTTTTCAACAACTTTCCCGTGAGTCAGTGCACAATGTTCACCGAGTCATGTGATATTGTGAACGTCCACTGCAACAATTTTTTCTTGGCATTAAAACGTAAACCGTGTACTTCTGCTTGCTGTGTAGAAGTAACATTTGAACTTGTGTCACAACCTATCTATTAATAATGACTCCTTATGTGGACAATAGGTTTTTAGACCATGTTACACAGGAAATGTCATGCACTTGCATTTAAACCTTCTGCTCTTCTCACTTTACTTTCAGTTCAGAAGAATAGAAGTATGTTTTTGCAGGCTGAGACCCTTCAATATTCTATTCTGGTGCAGCATACTATCATGTTTATTTCCTGATCTAGCTTTTCTTTCAATGTTGCCTTGTTCACTTCTCTTTAATAAATGCACAATTGTTGATTGATAACAATGCACACAGGCTATTTCACTTCAGCATTCAAAACAAAATTATGAACCATTTATGTAATGTTATTTGTCTATGGTGCTTATAAAATGGTGCTCAAAAATCTATGGTGTTTATAAAATTGCACCATCTTCACACTGGTATTTATACCAGCGGATGATTAAAACACCAAAAACATTGGCTGATAAAATCTACCGCAGCAATGAAAAGCATTTCATGTTTATGATTCCATGGTAATACAATCTTTGTGGTTCTTTACAGATATGCAGTAAAATGCTATTTAATGTAAAAAAGTAAACACATTTTTATAGGACTTTATGAA